CATACGGTTCACCTGATGTTAAGTGACTACCGCCGCCCATGAACAACAGTAACACCAAGGGAGTTGCAGGTGCGTTGCCGGCCTTTTAGAAAGGAGTAAGCTCTAAGTTCCTGTTATTATAGTCTTTGGCTGAAGATACGCTAGCGTCACCTGAGTTAATGATATACTACCGGGCATCAACAAGCCTTCAAACCTTCCTAATTACAAACAGACAAAATGAACTGCGGCTGTCATCCCGGCTACCAAGTGTGGCAACTATGGCAAATATCCCATATAAATAATATTCAAAATTATATAAATATATATATATATAATTTTGAATACAAATAGTTCACTAAGTACACTATAATATAATGATGTGTAATTATATTATGTTTGTTTTTATATACATACTGTATTCTACTGAAAAGATCTGTAATTATATTGTGTAAGATAAGTGAATAATTAATTGCTATTAAAGCTTAGCTTAAGCAAAGTTGGATTATGCTGAGAGATAATAAATGTTTAATTAAATACATTTGCTTGCAAATAAACGGGTCGACACGAAACTATTACTATATTACGGAAAATATTTCTTTTAAATATTTTTGCAAACCTTTGTCTCTTTTCTAAGACTTGTAGGTTTCCTTAAGATTTCTTCTTTTACCGCCGTGCTTATGTTAAATTAACACCTAACACTTCTATTAATAATTTTAATAGTACCACCAGGGATCGAAGCCAGGTTGCATTGGTATTGTTAAATTAACGACCAGTGCTAGCCACTGAGCTACAACTGCTCAGCCAAAAAGCTCTAGTAGCTAAATGAATAAATTGACGGAGAATATTCATCATATTTCAAAATGACAAAAATTTTAGTGTTATTACAGATTCGTAAATGTCGATGATGTTGATATGGATTTGAAAACGATTTCCGCATTTAGATTTTAACTGATTTCGGTACTCAACACTAAAACAGCTTTGTTTATTATGTATTATTTGATTTTTAAGGTCCAGCGTGGTTGGTTTTGTTTAAATTAGCTGGGATAATCACCATCATCATCGTTGCAGCTTATCATAGTCCACTGCGTAACAAAGGCCTCCCACCACAGGCTGCCTCCTTTGCAATAGACAGTCAGACTAACAGATCGACAAATAAACAGACAGAAAAACTGACAGAAAAAATGTTAATTTTAAAAATTTATGGTCTTAATCGCGTGCGATTAACCCCCTCAGCGTGTAACATTAGGCAATTATTTCAGTTCTTAGACACTGCAAAGGAGACGGACGAATTTGGGCCTAACGTTACACAAGTAAAATATTTATCAATATTTTTTTACAGTTTTTTTTGTAGTTAATAATGAAATATTAAACAGTTTTATCATGGCAAAAGAAATTAAATATTTAATAAAAATAATACTGACTTCCGTTATTTTTATTTTTAAACAATGCTGCCAGATGAAATAGGTTGGTTAATCGATTTTAATACAAAAATAGAAAAAAGACAATAAAACGTGATTCAGTGTTTTCTTCTTTAGGTAAGTTTAAGAAACTTATTATTTAAATAATGGTTTCCTCGTGAGACACTTCAACGTTTCAAAAAAGTCGTAAAATTAAATTTACTAAATAGATTAATAAATCGATTTCACAATCGATTAAAAATGTTTTATACAGGCCACAAACCGGAAATGTCAACGTTAGTTCAAAAACTCAAACGTCAATCAAATAATTTGTTACGTTTGTTTGGCTCTGAATTTCAGGTAGGTATACAAAAAGTACTCTGTGGCTCTGAGCTTGCGGTAGTATTGAATATTTTCTGTTGTTTTTGTGTGCTGTAATAATATTCTGATCTTCAATGACTCTGGCTACGTATAAAGGATTCTGACGGCTTATTTTCTTTAAGAATACCGTAAAATGTGGTAACTTGACCTTTACCGGTCAACTTGACCTAAGGCTCCGTGAAGTGACAAAGTATTAAATTTCATAGAATTAAATACAAGTTGACATTTCTTATCAACGTTACTAGGTTATTTATATTGTCATTAGCAACATATTGTAATTTTAAAGTGGTTACACCATTGAGCTATTATGTACTACGTACTAGAGGCGACACTGCATTCAGCTACTCTGTTCCACTCAACTGCGGTGCATACACCGCACTTTAATCAGTAACTCGCTAGGCGCTTGTAGAGTTGTCAAGTGTTGATTTTTTTAAAAAAGTCTCTTGATGAAAATATGCCGTCGTGTGTACTTAGATATTGCACAAATAATTCAGGAAATGTCAGTAAAAACCAAGGAATTACTTTTCATCGGTTAATAAGATACTTAATCAATAAAAAAGTATTAAAGATTAATAATAAAACAAATTATTCCTAAGACGCCATCTCGTGTCATGGAATATAGATTATGAAATAATGTTCAGATACATTTCTGTGGGTACTTAAGTATAGGACGAATATATTAATAAACACATTTTTTTTGTAGAAACATATAAGTTATTATAATTAGGCTAAATTTTTCATGTTTAAATCTGCTTATTATTCTTTTATTTTATTTTTAGGTTTCCACATCAAAGTCAAAGTGGAATAAATTCGTCAATTTTTAACTCTCGCGTGCCCAACATTTGTGAACGACTCTTATTCTAATTTAAATAAATATGTTTGTAATTTAAATGTTATGTAAATAAGTTTTGTTAAATATATATTTAGTATGTTTTTTATATTTGACATAGAAACCTTTTAAAATATTCAGATAAAAATATCATTAAAATGTAATTGTGATATAATATTATGTAATATTATATTAAATAAGCAAATATAATATACAAAATAAATGACTAAATTTAAATATTGTTCTCGATATAATTTACCTATTAAACAATACAATCTACTATTACCTACAGATCATTCTACCTATATTTATTCTATGATAAAAAAACCAACCGCGCGAACACAGAGTAGCGCACATTTTTTGTTTGAGATAGCTGTTCTAGTACGTAAGTACATATTACTTCAATGGGTTACACTATTAGTTTATACATAAAACGTTTTCCAGTGTGATCGACAGAAGATATTTTTTGCCTGTGTGAACATTATTGTGTTTATAAAGCTTAAACTATAAATCTTTGGTGAGTACAACTTTGACATGTTGTGTAATAAACATTAAAGATTAATTTTACGTTATGATCTATCCGTTTTTAGGCGAATCTGCCGAAGTATTTACTTCGGCATTGTTTGCTAATATTAGGTCAAGTTGCCTTTGACAGCTGCGTGGCAACTTGACGTACACCTAGGGCTGACACAAAATTAAAGTTTATTCATGACGGATAGATACATAATTCATCTTCGGTTTTCCGAAAACCTTGTCTCACTATGTGGCACTTACAACTAGACAAGAAGTTTTATTTATTTTTATTTTTATATTAGAATAACGAATACGTTATGTACAACATGAAATTATGCTCGTTTAGACACTAGAACCGTTTCGTCGACCCAGTAATGATCAAAGTTACGGAGAAGCTAATTTTTTCATTTGTTTTGAGTGGTTGCCGTAGTGAATTTTATTAATTTTATTTCTATTCTTAGCAAACAAATTAATATCCGAAACAAATATATTGACAAACTGCGAAAGTTTAAAACAAACCGTAACAAAATTTGTGCAATCTGATAGTTTGAATCAATATTTCGCGTTATATACCTAAAATTCAACTTTAGATTACCTATGCGTAACTATATACCTCTTTATATTTTAGGATAATATGCCACCAAGAAAACGAGATCGCAGGAAACTTGGGGCAAGACAATACAGAAACTACACCGACGAAATGTTATCACTAGCAGTCGATAAGGTCCAAAATAAAAAAATGTCATCCTATGGTGCCGCAAAAACTTACGGTATTCCTCGAAGAACAATGGAAAGAAAAGTAAAAAAAAACATATGAGTAAACCAGGATCTCCCCAAAAACTAACCGAACAGGAAGAATTGAACTTTGTTAAAGTTCTTATTTTAGTTGCAGACTACGGTGTTCCTCTAACCCTAATGGATCTTAGGGTACTAGTGAATGAATACCTATTGAAAAATAATAAGGCTTTTATTTTTGACGGAAAATTACCTGGAGAATGGTGGGCCAGGGCATTTATAGAACGGCATCGTGATAAGTTAACTGTCAGATCTGTGCAAAATATTAAAAGGGCACGAGTAGAAAAAGCTTTAACAGAATTTCAAAATTACTTTCAGAACCTTGAACATGTAGTAAAAAACGTTCCTCCAACTCATTTGTTAAATTAGGATGAGACCAACTTTAGCGACAACCCAGGTTCCGTTAAATGTATATTTCGTCGCGGGTGAAATACCCAGAGAGAATCCTGAACAGTACAAAGGGCTGTATTTCAGTCATATTTGGTGGAATCGCAGATGGCAAGGTATTGCCGCCATATGTCGTTTATAAGTCTGAGGCCTTATGGAGTCAGTGGGTTGAAGGAGGTCCAGATGAAGCTCATTATAATAGAACCAAAAGCGGGTGGTTTGATTCGAGTACATTTTTTGATTGGTTCCCAACCATAAGTGTAACATGGGCACGCAAATTAAAGGGAACCAAGGTTATAATTGGCGATAACCTCAATAGCCACATCAATATTGATGTAAGAGAGTTGTGTGAAAAGTATTAAATAAAATTTTTACTTTTACCGCCAAATTCTACACAACTCACCCAACCTCTTGATGTCGCATTCTTTGGATCCTTGAAAAAGACTTGGCGCAAAATATTGACAAATTACAAAGTTGAAAACCCACGTCAAGCGTCATTAAATAAATGTCACTTCCCGCCTCTTCTGAAAAAGGTGATGGATGATGTCTACATGGGTATTAGAGAAAATGTGGTTAGTGGATTTAAAGCCACAGGTATTTGTCCATTTAACCCAGAAAAAGTTTTAAAAAAAGTGCCAGAATATACTTACAATGAACCAGCGTATTCAGTAGACAGTGTGTTACTCGAATAATTAAAGGATAGTAGAAAATCGAACGAAATGAAAAGAGGAAAGAACAAGAAATTGAAGGTTGAATCAGGTATATTTATTTCAAAATCAGATGTTTACAAAAGAGAAGCAACTAAAAACCAGATTAAGAATAGGGAAAAAAAATGTGGAATTAAGAAAATGAAAATTGAAGAAACAGATCAGTTTGACACTGAGATAAACTTAGAGTCTAACGTAAAAATTGATGAATTTACTGGAAAGCAAAGTAAAATCATCGTCAAACTCTGTGGAAATTTAAGTGACATAAAAAATCCAGATGACAGAAATATAGAAAACTACGAAGATACTTCTAGTGAACAGAATCAAAAAAGAAAATGTAATAAAAAGGTACTTAGCAAGAAGGAGAAAAAGGAACTTATTAAAATATCAAGAAACATAGGGTCACCTAAAAATACAAAAGATCTAGAAATTAGTTTACACAGTGACAGTGACATTATAGACTGATGTCGATCTTGAAGAAGAAGATTACTTCAACAAACAATTTAATAATAAATCACTAGAACTACCAATTGACTCGAATGTAGAAGTGGCAAGCACTGTGGATGTTATTGAAATAGAAATATTTGAAAGGATAGCAATGTTGGGTAAGGGAGATATAGAACTGGAAGACTGTGACATGTGTGACTCACAAATATTATATAAAAATGCCAGTGATGGCGATGAGCATATGAATAAATTAGATCTAAAGTCAAGGTTAAAAAAGATAAATATCAACACTTACATGAAAATAATAATAATTTAAACAAAAACGAATGTACATGGAATATAGGAGATACTATAATCGCGCGCTATTACTCCTCCCACCAATGGAAATATCATATCGGCTTTATTGAGAATGTCAACAACTGTCAAAAAGTTTTTTCGGTTTCCTATTATAAAACCATATAACTCGGTGATAATATTAAATTTGTAAAACCCAAACGTGAAGATAAAGATTCTTCATTGCCTGAAAATTTCATTGTAAAATCTTTAAATTTACTGCAAATATCAGAAAATCCAGACGAGTATATTCTTTACAACGACGACGACGACCTTTATTTTAAAATTTAAATGGTTAAATAATGTTTTTTTTAACTATTACATGTAAGTAAAATATTTTTTTTAATTAGTTTATAAAATAAATTGTTTAATATTACTAGTGTCTTGTTTATTGTGACAACCCTATCCAATAAGTATGTTTTGTATGAAAATCGTTACCGATCCTGTGGCAACTTGACCTAACCAGGTTTACAAGCTTTTATTATAAATTTAAATTGGGTTACCACATTTAAAAATCCGCAGATGTAAAAATATTGGTAATTTGACCTACAAAAGGAAATGAAATGCATGCACCTATGAAAATTGGTAAGTATGTCAAGATGCCACAATTGTGTCAACTTGACCTCTGTTACTTTTTTATTTATAGAATGTCAGGTTAAATGTATTTTAAAGAAATAACTACTGAAAATGAATAATTTAGTCATTGTTGCTATAAACAAATCATAAAATGTTAAAAAAGTCTGTCTGGGTTATAGATATTTCAAAAACTAAAAAAAAATGTGGTCAAGTTGCTACATTTTAGGTATATGTGCAAAATGATAACTTAAACGTTTTCCCCAGCTCACGCATATATAATAAAATTATATATGCATATTTAATAAAAATATCTTTTGGTATTTATCAAATTAAGTAGGCTAGGTCCCATTATGGAGAGCACATAGGTACAACAAGATGGGAGATATGAAGTAGAAGTGTGTTGAGAAACGGACAGCAGCCTACTAAGAGAACAGTGAATATCTAACCATTCTAGCTCAAAAACATATTTTACAAATATTTTAGTTGACAGTATTACAGTATTAGTATTAGTACAAACAGTATTATTTTAATTGCTTGGTAGGAAAAAGAACTGTAGGTTGCTGTTGTCATGTAATGTCAAGATATGGTACCTAAGCTGGGCAAGGCATCAAGAGAATTTAATACGGCATGCACCGTTTTTAGACGATATTTTATTTGTTTATGATGTAGTGGACAATTTAATAAAACATTAAAAGAGAAAGTGTTTTTAATTCATACTCCCTCTGTTTTTTATAATCATTATTTAAAACCTCTAGAAATTAGTTGGACGGCGGCGTCTGAATCCTCTATGTGTGAATGTCCTACTATATACTTAAAATTCTGGTAAAGTCTAGTTTACAATAAAGTCTAATAATTATTTTCTTAAAGTGTAATGTGAGAGCTCGGTGTAAGAATAACATTGTATGCATAACGTAAGCAATAACATTGTTTTGATACAAAGCAATAACGATGCAATTTTTTTTCTACCAAGAAGCAGTCGTAAACATTTTAGTTTTTTAAAAATGTTATTGGTATATAAATAAAATAATGCAGTAATCGTTACTGTAATATCAGGTTCAGCTTCCTATGAACTTTCGCCCGTCTCCTTTAATTATAGGCATACATAAATTTAATATATTGTAAATTGTATTGTAAGTTTGTTAAAAGGTAAAGTTACAGCCTCTATATGTCTCACTTCTGAACACAGACCTCCTGTCATTTCTGAAAAGTTGATAGAGCAATTTAGTGTGAATGCGTTACATATGTACAAAATGAACTCTGTTATTCATAAGATATATGAATTACTTTTACTGTTCCTTTAAATGTTATGTATATATTACTAGGTTGCTTATACGATACATGTATACGTGTACGAAATCGGAAGCAGCTGCATCTTAATATAAAACAAGTGGTAAAATTAAAAAGCTTTACAACCGATTTCAATTTCAATAAAATGAGACCATCATCAATGCATTCGAAGTCTTTTTATATAACAAAAGGGCACAGAGTCCACCTGATGGTAAATGGATGGTGTGGCCCATAGACATCCACATTTATCCTCAACTAAAGATCAAAATTCAATTGCATTGCCACCCCTGAGGACTAAGACGGAATGCCTCGATACTAGTAAAAACGATCTCCGTTTCTCTACACTCAACATACGAAATACAGCAGCCTTACGCTGCTATTTTACGCTGGTATTCTGTGAGACCGTGTTTCCGCACCTGTCGAGCTGACTCATTTGCACTACAGTTATAATATAGCTGCATCGTGGCTCTACCACGTAAATTTAGTATAATTAATTAAATCACGCACTACTAAGGATAACTCAAAAACAATTGGTCATATCCTGATCAAATTTATATGGGACGACACAAGTAGCACCAGCTTTCAAATAAAAAAAGAATCATCAAAATCGGTTCACCTAGAAAATGTTCTGAGGTAACAAATATAAAAAAGAATTAAAAAAACATACATTCGAAATGAATATTTCCTCTTTTTTGAAGTCGATTAAAAACTTGTGCGTGTAGAATGTTAACAGGTTGGCCTGACGACATGGTGTCTTGCCAAAGTTTAGAGCTAGCTTAAACTTAATTGGCCCTATTACAATATTAAGTTTATTGGTAGATTCTTTTACAATATTGAACAAACGCACGGTCTACCTGATGATAAGTGGAATTCGCAGCTATGGTCACCTGCAACCAACTTCAAATAAAGAAAGTTCAGATGAATTATATCCTTTAAGGACTAACATGGAATGCCTAACAGTCTGTAATAATGCTGGCTCTCTATGACTTTAGAACCGAAAGGGATTTTTCATAGTGACTTTAACAACAAGACAAATAATAGAAAATTCTGATTAAGGTATCTATTAAAATAGTAAAATTGCAGACAAAAGCAAAAAAGTAAATTTGCGGTAATGGAGAAGGTAGTCCGCCGCTCTTCTACATGACGTTCAAACTTCACCCCACAGAAATATAGGTTTTGTCACGATGTTTTTCCTTACCGCCGAGCACGTGCCCATTTGGAGCACTATTTGTAAATTAACACTCTCATTTACGATGGCAGTAATTCATCTCAGGTTCACGCTTACTATAAAATCACGGAGCAAAAAAATTTACGCATAGCCCTGAGTTGATATGAAAAAATATGGGTGGCACGAAAATAGAAATATACTTTTAAAATCTATACTTTTTTGCTTTTTTCGCCCAATACTTGTATGTTTTTGACATCATCTGCTCCCTTTTCTTAACAATCGCTCCCACACAACTTTCGTCTCTTTTTTACCTTTCCGTGGCGGCGTGATTAGACCCCCTTATTTCATAAATGCTGCAGTCCAATAGAAACATGTAGTTAATTTTAAAATTGTATATTACATAAATATCGTGAACTAGCTAAGAGCAAATATACTCGTAATTCCTTGCCGTTTATTTGACACATATTCCTTATTTTTATCAAAGATAAAAAGTTAAAGTTACAGCCTATATACACCCTACCCCTGAACACAGGTCTCCTATGACTTTTGAGATGGTTTTAGGGCCATGAAGTGTCTGCCGCGCTGCCCCACTGCGTGTTGGCTAACTTCATATGTCTTCGAAATAATTTATTTTCTCAGTCATGCAAGATTCTCACGATGTTTTCCTTCAGTGCCGAGCACGTAGTAAATCAGCAGATAATAGAGCCGTGGTAGCTTAGGGGTTTAATTCTCGCTGTAAATTGAACTGTACTCGAGCAACCCGGGTTCGATCTACGACGCTTTTAACTCTATAATTTACTTCAGTAATGTTTGTAATTTAGGTTTATGTCATTTCACGCAGCATTCTCTGATAAAATTACTCAATAATAGAAGAAATCAGCATTGATGCTATCGAAACAATGTTACCGCAGTCAGTCTTTAAATAACTGATGCTGAATAAGAAAAATTGATTTCTCGTCGTTGAGTAGATGAACAATTAGCAATAGTATATCTAATAAAATTTAAGTCGATTCAACATGTGTAGGTAAGTATTTCTTTACCATGCCTACCCATGTGACAGGAAACCAAACTTGAACTTAATTAATTTTGCGAATCCTTGTCAAAGGCAGTGATTATTGCCCAAATTAATAATGATTTCTAAGTCAGAACTTTCATAGAAAAGCCTACGTTCATTGTTTAATACTTAAAAACGCTATTTATGTTAATGTGAATTTAAACAGTAAAACTAAAATCTAAATGAAATTATCAATATACTGCTTTCAGAACATTTTTTTATTTATTACAAAAAACTGACTGAAAGAAATATCAAAGATGAAAAAAAGTCTTAGAATAGAAAAGTCTTGAAAATACACGGCAATAATGATAAATAATAAGAAAGTATTGAGTAATTAGCATTTAAGCACGCCAGTGTTGAGCCGTTGGTCCAAGTCAGGTCTCCTTACTTAAAAATGTCTATTCCTTTCTCATATAGGATTGGCACAATTTATTTTATTATAATTAAGATAAAAACAGAAACAGAAATGTACCAGTTCAAACAAACAAGAAAAAAATAGGAAATAAGTAACAACAAATTCTCTCATCCATTTGCCATTAGATTTATAATCATTTTTATGAATACATACATGTAGGTATTTATAATGTCTAACTAGAACTC